AGTTAACAAATTCAATGAACATAAAGTCTTCGAATGTCAACAACTGACTGTTGACTGTATATTGAAAGATTTTGGTTGTAATGAACGAGTATGAATATTTTCTAGATGAAATTGATATCGGAAAAGTCATGTTATTTAGATTATTCGTGCTGAAAGGGAAGATCATTATTTGACTGAACAACATCAACATGCCCTACTCAAAATTGTTCGTCACATGTTATCGCAATTGAATGACAGACAAACGGATATTGATCTTCCTCGAACAACGACTACAGCTCAATTAGAAGAACTTTATGAAATGCTCAATATCTTGGTAAGTGGTATCGAGACATTGACTAATGATGAACAACGTCTAGCCGAGGAGTCACTTCAAATACAAATGATACTACCAACATTGATAGAGGAATTATCGAAAGTTAAGTTATCCATTGAAGAGTCAAATGCTTTTCTCGAGGGAGTCAAGTGTAATCAAGATATTCTCAATCAAGATTTAGTATCGTTGCAAGAAACAATCAATGATTTCCAGTATGTTTCATATGATGGAACATTAGTTTGGAAAATAACAAACTTTCAAGAGAAAATGAGTAAGACAAACAGTTACTCTTATCTTCAATGATAAAAATAGAATATGTTAACGAAAAGATAATCAAAGAATGAGATGTTATTAGGCTTCTTCAAAATCAATAGATAATACAGAAATAATTCAACGTTACATTCAGTACAATATATAATCATACACGAATACAATATATGAGTAATCTATTGATGAATTGACGAAATGATTTATCAATACGGTCGATCCGCTAAATTTCTTAATACTTGCTTTTATTCTTCAAGTATTTTTTTTTTGTGGAAGTCACGTACTTGATAAAGGAAAGTAGTGAGTGTCAATTATCAGACAAGGTTTTTCGCCCGCATCTCTCCTATAGTAAGCTAGATTAATAGGTAACAGTGAGGATGTAGATCGATGACTTTAACGCCGCCGATAGTCATCGTAGCACTGATAAAGATACTCGCAATAGGCTTTAGTAAACCAGGTTATCTTCAACGGGTATACGTTTCCATAGCAAACAAGGACAATAGGTACCAGATTTCTTCTTTATAAGTCCTTAGCAAGGCAAACAAATCTGCTGAACTGCATTCCTAAATAGCACAGATTTTGGTTTTTATATGCAGATCACCAATTATATCTAAGATATTATAGATGATGGCCAGTAATGTTTAGATTTGTCAAGTTATCATATGACCAACACTAAAAGTATGAATTAAACAACTTGTGGCTTTCTGAAATCTTTAATATCAGGTTTCTGAGGTTATCAACATAAATAATAGTATATTGAAACATGTTATAGACATAATAGATGTGTACAACAGACTTGTATGCCATTTAAATGCACAATTAGAATAATAATAATAGTAATTTAAGAAAAACGAAAGGAAAAAAAGAAATAACTACCGAATACCAATGGTATAAATAAAAAATAGAGCACGAGTAAAAAACGGAAAGAAAAAAATCTTGCCGAAATGTAGAAATGAATAAGACAGATCGTTTTCCTGGCGATCGACTATCCTTGGAAAATCAATACAATCTGTTAGAGACTTTTCACTTAACCTATTTTGCATTAGTGTAACGAAGCTGAAAAAAAATGTGAGTTCCACATTTTAGTCTCAAAGAGACTGCGCTAATGAACGTTTTTGCTTAATTTTTAGTTGATGCA